TAAATATTTAAAGACAACAGAAAAAAAATTGCATTCAAATTCCTTCATAGCTCAGCCACAATCTGAATTTTTAGTTTCATCTCCAACTAATCTAACATCTCTTTCACATTGTCACGAACATTACCATGTGTAGAAGTTATGTTTTAGCTATTCTGGAATATTCCATCCTCTGCAGATTGTGCTGTCATGCTGCCTTCCCATGGATAGTCTCCCTGCTTGACATTCTTTTTCTTCTCTACCTGGTGAAATGCTGTATATCCTCCAAGCCTTACTCAACTCCTCTGTGAAGCCTTTCCTGGTTTTAAACAAAGGCAATATAATTAATTTCTATGTCTTTTGTGATTTTAGAATATTTTTAAATATACTCATTAGGCCATTTATTACATTGAATTTTGATCAGTTATGGAGACATCTAGCAATCCTGCTATATTAATTCATTCAACAAATATTTAGTGACAACTGCTGTCATTATACCAATGAAGAACATTATTCCTGCCTGTATGAAGCTCACGATGTTGTGTCAGGCAGACAAAGACATAGAATTATAATACTTTATGAAAATGCCATAATAAAAGTACATAAATATGTGCATTATGATACGGATGCTGGCACTTAACCCAGTCTCAAAGGAGCAGTCATATTTTGGGAATGAAGAGACACCTCCACTGACTGTTGATGAGTGAGCAAAGAAAATGGAAGGGTACTCTAAGCAGAGGGAAATGTGGAAGTGCAAAAGGAAGCTGTGTAAGTGACTCCATCTGGCTAAAGCATAGGGTTGATGTTCGAAGGGGAGAGAGATGAAGTTAGAGGTTTGCAGAGGCATTTATGAAGGCTCCCATGTAATGATCATCATTACTGCTTCCTGCAGACTGGCTGGATCCTAAGCGTAATGCAGCCACTGTTCTTAATCCTTCATAAGTAGATATTCTACTTCATGGAGTATGTTCTACTCTTTTAGAGAAGGAAATTGAGCCTTTGATAGGTTAAAAGACTTGCCCCAGGTTAGCAGTTATTGACAAGAAAATTGTAACTTTGACTAAGTGCATGGATTCTGGAGCCAGACAACCAGGATCTGAGTCCTGACTCTTCCTTTCTAACCCTGTGAAGTTCAGCAATTTGCTTACCCTTCTGTGGCTCACTTTTCTCATCTTTTAAAGGCGGTGGGTAATAATTGCACCTGCTTAGAGTTGTTGTAAGAATTAAACAAGTTAATATGCATAAAGCATTTAGGAAAAAGCCTGGCACAGAAAACAGTGCTGTGAAAGTATTTGCTAGTATTTTTCTGGCTGTTATCATTATTGTTATCAGACTCCAAATACAGAGCTTTCTCCACCACCATATGCAGCCTATAGAAAATAACCAAAAGTAGCACAAATTCCCGTTCATTTAGCCTGTAATAGCATGCTAGGCATGGTGGTAGACATTTAAATATCATAATCCTCACAGACTCTTCAAGGTTTGGTGTATTGTCTTACTTTACAGCTGAGACTCGAGAAAATCAAGTCTTTCACCCAAGATCACACAGCTAATAAGTAATTTTTTCTGCCTCATGAAAAGGATTTTTTAATCCAAAGCGTTAGAGGATTCCCCGGGAGGATTTTAAGCAGAAGACATGATCAGGTGTATGCTGTGGTCAGGTCCATCGGTAGAGGGAAGACGTCAAGAAAATCTTGGTAGGGAAGGCATGTCAAAAGTATCTTGAAGAGGGGCCAGATGGGTGGATGGGAGAACTATTAGGAGTTTTTGCAGTAATCAAGGAAAGAAATGATAAAAGCCTAAGCCCTCAAATAAAACATATTAGAGATTAGAAATGAGAGGATACTGTTGAATAATTTATGGTGCAATAGTTAATGGACTTGGTGACCAAAAGAATATAGCAGGTGATGGGTAATGAGAAGTCTATGGTGATTCTCAAATTTCTACTGATATTGTTAATAATTTGGAAAAATATAGATGGAGAAGCAGGTTCCAGAACAAATCTATAAATTAACATTTGGGCATTACAAAAAACAAAGATGTCTATGAGATGTCCGAGGTAAAATGTTTATTAGCCAGCTAGATATAGAAATTGGAGTTTGGAGGAGACTGGTTTAGAGATACAATGATGGTGGTTAATAACAGCTGTATGAAAATTACAGCCACAGGCATGAGTAAGATCACAGTAGTTCATTTTGAGGAGTGAGAAAAAAGTCCCAAGAATCCAGGTTTTAAACAGAGTGAAAGAAACTGGTAAAAACAAACAAACAAATAAACAGAAAACAAAAAACTGTATGATTGGTCAAAAGGTAGGACGAAATCGCTCTTTTGCAGTCAGCGCTCAGAGCAATGCGCATCTCTAGGGACAAGTGGCACAAGCACCACAAGACAGGGGGCAAGAGAAAGCCCTACAAGAAGCACAAGTATGAGCTGGGATGCCCGCTGCAAACCCTGATTGGCCCTGCCACATACACACAATCCATGTTGGGGAAGGCAGGACCGTGCCTTGAGACTGGCCGTGGGGAACTTCTTCTGAGGCTCCCAGTGTTGTACACGCAAAACAAGAATTATTGATGTTGTCTGTAATGCATCTAACAACGAACTGGTCAGCACCAAAACCCTGGTGAATAACTGTATCGTGCTCATTGACAGCACACCCTATGACAGTGGTAGGAGTCCTACTGTGCACTGTCCCTGTGCTGCAAGAAGGGGACCAACCTGACTCCTGAGAAGCTTTAAACAAAAAACAATCAAAGAAAATTCAGAAGAAATATGATGAAAGGAAAAAGAATGCCCAAATCAATGGTATTCTGGAAGGCAGTGTCAACAGGCAGGGCAAGCTGTCTTAGCATCGTCGAAACTAGAGACCAGACAGTGTGGCGGAGTAGGTGGCTATGTGCTAGGGGACAAGAAGCTAAAGTTGTATCTGAGGAAAATCAAAGCTCGGAAAGGCAAATAAATCTTCCTGCTTCCTATCTTTGGTTATGTTTATTGTTCTGTCCAAAAAAAAAAAAAAAAAAAAAAAATGGTAGGAGGAAATCCAAAAGAAAGTGAAGTCACAAAGGCCAAGGGAAGGTGGTTGAGGAAGAGGGGAATGGTAAACAAAAAAATCGCTAGGGCGCCTGGGTGGCTCAGTTGGTTAAGTGTCCCACTTTGGCTCAGCTCAATATCTCACGGTTCATGAGTTCAAGCCCCGTATCCCACTCTGTGCTGACAGCGCAGAGCCTGGTGCCTGCTTAGGATTCTGTGTCTCCCTTTCTCTCTGCCCCTCCCCACCTGTGCTCTGTCTCTGTCTCTGTCTCTCTCTCTCTCAAAAGTAAATAAACATTAAAAAGTTTTAATGAAAGAAAAAACTTGCTACTGAAATAGCAAGTTAGATTAAGATTTAGGATGCGTCAGTTGGATTTATCCACTTGGAGCTTACTGGTGAATTTGTTGAAAGAAGATTCAAGAATGTTGGAGGGAATCAAGGTGGAAAGCATATTGCAATGATTTCTGTTTTTTCCTTTGTATTTTAATGCATTTCCAAATTACTTAAGGGATAAAAAAAATCACCTGTGCTGGAAGCATGAGCAAGAGAAGAGAAAGAACAAGAATCATACCCTGTACATAGCTGGGTACCCAATGCACCTTCAATGTCATTCATTTAGTATTCAAAAAACATTGATTTAAGTGTGGGGGGGGGGAAGGAAAGAGAGATCAACTTTTAATTGTATAATTCCTATATATTTGTGTCTTCAAATCCAACTCTAAAATGAGAGCTTAAATCTTTAAAATATAAATTACAAAAAAAATTCTTCGAGTTCTCTCTTAACCACAATAACTGTAAAATAAAGTTCCTACTTGTACTTTGTTATAAAACAAATGATCTGATTCTCCTCAATCTATTTTTTTTTCCTGAATGCTTGCATCATTTTTCATTCTTGGTTTTCACACATTGAATGTCTATGAAATATTTGATTACCTACATTCTGTTGCTTGGACAGTTGAGCCACATCCTGTTAAAAGTCGTTACATTGCTTAGGTTAGGAAAGTAAAATGGAAAACTGATGCTTTGTTTCTAGTCTGCATACTTCCTTCTGTCCAGGTCATTGCACAGATATGTTAAGTGTATTTGCATCTCAATTGAAAAATATATGACTGGAAATAGTACTGTTTCATGAAAGGTAATGTTTTATGAGAAGAAAGTGAGCCTTGCCATGCCAATCTACTGTGGCATTAAATTAAACTCTTCAAAAAGTTTCTTTGAAGTCTTTAAGTCAAAATATTTTTTAAAACTTGTGTATTAAATGCAATCTGACATTGTTTAATTGCTATTTTTGCCGCAGACTTTTCCCTTGTTTTATTGATAAAAGGAGGGGCCCTCTCTGGAACAGACACTTACCAGTCTTTGGTCAATAAAACCTTTGGCTTTCCGGGATATCTCCTCCTCTCTGTTCTTCAGTTTTTGTATCCTTTTATAGGTAAGTTGATTCCTTTTACAGGTATATCCTCATAGGTAAGGTGACAATGAATATTGGAATTATTTCATAAGCATACAACTATTTTTGAAGAAAGTAGCTTTAATAGTAGATTAAAAGTGAATAGGTAAGGGAAACCTGGGTGGCTCAATCAGTTAAGCATCCTACTTCAACTCAGGTCATGATCTCACAGTTCATGAGTTTGAACCCCATGGTTCATGAATTTGAACCCCGCATCAGGTTCTCTGCTGTCAGCACAGAGCCTGCTCCTCTCTCTGCCCCGCCCCCCTCGCACACTCTCTCAAAAGTAAACATTTAACAAAATAATAAAAAAACAAAAGTGAATAGGTGAAATAATAGATTTCTTCTAAAGCTGAAATACATTTTTTGAAAACCTAAGGGTCTGTGGAAGCCATGTACAAACAAGGCCAACATGCAATTTAAAATTTGTGCCATACTGGTGAGCATGTCTTCTTAGGTGCGTTGTTAACGTTTACCAGTGGTCGAATTGACTTGATTTTTAAAATCAGTAATATAGAAGCTATTGTTCAAACCAGTAGCTCCTTATGTCTTCATGGAAGGCTAAGACTATTATTTCCCCCAAATCTTATTTTTTTAAATGAGGGGGTATTTGGGAGCCTTCACAATTTCTATTATTGTTCCTTGTTTTGAGCAATGCATGTGTTACAGAAAACATGTTTGGAAACTGAACTTTAGTAACAAAACAAATCACATTTTAATTTTAATTTAAAAAAAAATTTTTACTGTTTATTTTTGAGAGAGAGAGAGAGAAACAGAGACAGAACGTGAGCGGGGGAGGGGCAGAGAGAGAGGGAGACACAGAATCCTAAGCGGGCTCCGGGCTCTGAGCTGTCAGCACAGAGCCTGATGCGGGGCTCGAACTTGGAAACAGTGAGATCATGACCTGAGCTGAAGTCAGATGTTTAACCGACTGAGCCACCCAGGTGTCCAACAAATCACATTTTAAAAGACTACCAAAACTCACTATTATTTAAAGGTGTTCTGTCTGGAAAAGAATCGATTTGTAAGGTGAAAATATTTTTGTAATATAAATTTATATTCTCCCATAAATCTGTTATCTAGTTATTTTTGAAGTTGTACATATTCATAATCACAATACATATTTGAAAGATGTAGGAGTATGCCAATATTTGGGAATAACATTACTTTGAAAATCAGTGATGGGTATTAAGGAAGGCACTTGTTGTGATGAGCACCAAGTGTTGTATATAAGTGATGAATCACTAAGTTCTGTGCCCGAAACTACTATTACACTGTACGTCAACCAACTGGAATTTAAATAAAAAATTGGAGAAAACACTGCTAAATGCAAAACAAAATTTTAAATATTCAAGATGAGATATGCGATGGCTTATCAGTAACTGGATTATTTTAATTATGTTTTTAGCTATGATAAGTTACAACATAATAACTGGAGATACTTTGAGTAAAGTTTTCCAAAGAATCCCAGGAGGTGAGTCAATATATTTATTTATGTATTATTCATAGTTAATGTTGTTCATAATAACTTACAAGCAAAATATTTGCAAGTGGAAGAATTGGATGACTTCAGATATCTAGCAATATCCATGATCCATTCTGATCCTAAAGTATTAATCTACCTTTATAGACAGTTTAGTTCTTATTTAGCTGTATAAAGGATATCATTGCTATTCATATACTTAGAATACTTTGGATTTTAAAAATCTTGTGCTACATATCACCAACTCTCTGTAGTAACATTTTTCATGTACTGTTTTTACTATGCTGTTTCTTAAATAAGCAAGCTGACTTTCCCCCCATTATTTGTATTAAGATATAATTTAATACAGTAAAATTAGCCCTTTCTAATGTATAGGTCAGTGAGTTTTGACAAATGCATAGCCATATATCCACAATCACAGTCAAAATACAGAACAATTCCATCCCCTCAAAAAATTTTTCCTTATTTCCCTATGTAGTCAAACCCTCCTTCATGTACAGCTCCTGGTAACCACTATACGATTTCTCTCCCTAGTTTTGCTTTTCCCAGAATGCCAGATAAATAGCATCATATATAGGTAGACTTTCAAGTCTGGCATCCTTTACTGAATATAATGCATTTGAGATTCATCCAAGTTTGGGGGTGTATCAGTAGTTTGCTCTTTTTTTATTGCTGAGGAGTGTTTCATCATATGGATGTACAGCAGTTTATCTGTCACCTAGTTGAGGGACATTTGGGTTGTTTCATTTGGCCTGATATTGAAAAACCACTATGAACATTTCAAGCAGACCTTTTCAACATGTGCCACAACCCCACTCCCTGTTTGACCTTGCACTATATCATGGCGCGTTAAATAACTTAGAGGTCACGAGTCTTTTTGTCTTGAAGAGCTTCCCGTCCAAGCCACATAATCCTCAGTTCATGGTGACCTAACTCTACAGTTGTTATCATCGTTGACAGCGATGCAGATGCACCTTTCCTCTCAGTGCTGAATCACTCATCCTACACACATACAAACCGAAAGAAAACAAAACCTAAAACTAGAAATCACACCTACTCCTTTCACAGGGTTTAGTGGAAACGGAGATCAGGGAGACTTGACCATCAAATCACAGACACACTGTTTGCTGGCTGTGTGGCCTTGAGAAGGTTAATGCCCTCTCTGAGTTCTAGTCTCTTCATCTCTAAATTACGAAGTAGAGTACCACCTGCTTCATAGAATTGTGTGAAACAACAGAGGTAATACCGACAGTCCTTGGCAGATAGCAGGCTTACCCAACACTGTTAGCTCTTATCAGCAGCTTCTGTTCTAGCCCCCAGCCTACAAATCATGTTTTCATAAACTGAGATCATGTGAGTGGAAGAATGCCGTGTATAAAATGTTACCTAATTATGTAAACTTTCTATTTTCATCAACAACTAAGGGAAAAAACAAGAAAAAATACATTCACATGTCAGCTGTGATTATCTTTTAATTGGATTCATGAAGATTTTTTCGTTTCCTTTGTTACATTTTACGTTTTCAAAGGAGCATATATTAATTTAGAAAAATCTTTTTATCACTTTATTTTCTTATTTGAAAAATATATATATTTACTAGGAAATAATAGAAAACACAGACAAAATAGAGGAGATAGAACATACCCATAATTTCTTTGTTTGGGGAAAACCAGGTAGGGACAATTCTTCCAAAAACTTTCTCCCTACTTTCCTTCCTCCCTTCCTTTTTAACATATACCTCCAGAGTCTTAAGAATATGTATGACTTCAGATATTCACATGACTAAGATAATACTATACAACTTATTCTATAATGTGCTTTTTCTCTTAGTAGTATAGTAGGGACACACTTTTATATCAAATTATAGATACCTATCCTATTTGCTTTGATGGTAGTTCAGTATTCTCCTGTATAATATCAGCTGTACAACAAAATAGACCAAAATTAATTTAAATTTCCCCAAAAGAGAAACATTTCGATCACATTTTTGATGTTTTTTAGTTATACATAGTATATGGATATATACTCTTCATATAAATAAAACACCTTCTATAAAGCTAAAGTTCCCTTTGAACCTCCCTCCCTGGTTATTAAATTTTTAATAATCAAAAATGAATTTAAAAAAATAGGCCACATAGCAAAGAACACACTTTATTCTTATCACAGTTTTTTAAAATTTTTTTGTTTATTTATTTTTGAGAGAGAGAGAGACAGAGCATGA